ACGCCTTACGATACATGGTCGTTTTTTTCAGCAAACAACACCTTACTATACATGGTCGTTATTTTCTGCTAAAAATGCTTTACTATACATGGTCGTTATTTTCTGCTAAAAATGCTTTACTATACATGGTCGTTTTTTTCGGCAAAAAACGCCTTACTATACATGGTCGTTTTTTTTCGGCTAAAAACGCCATACTATACAACGCCTTACTATACATGGTTGTTTTTTTCGCCTTACTATACATGGTCGTTTTTTTCGGCTAAAAACGCCTTACTATACATGGTCGTTTTTTTTCGGCTCAAAACGCCTTGATATACATGGTTGTTTTTTTCGGGCTAAAAACGCCTTTCTCTACATGGTCGTTTTTTTTCGGCAAAAAACACCGTAGAATCCAAAAAGGCCCTTACATAAATGGTTGTTAAAAAAAACTTGACATGAACCCCCCCCCACCAAGAGGAAGGCCGATATCTGGATTCGAAACCTGCACCTCTGCACTGCTCAGTCGACACACGAACCAGTCAACCTGGACCGAAAGCCGGCGTGTATACCTCGACACTACCAGCGACTGTTACTTGCTCTGCACTGTTGGCATATTTGACATGCACTCTGGAGGGTTTGCAGGAAAAAGTAAAGTGTTTGGTATTGTATTTTCACACGTCACTTCGCGGGGTTTGAACCGGTGTTGCCTGGACCAAACACCAGCATGTGGACCTCTACACCGCCAGTGACTCTGACTTGATCTGCACTATAGGCGTATTTGACATGCACTATGGTGGGTTTGCAGGAAAAAGTAACTTCAGGTTTGGTGTTGTATTTTCACACATAACTGAGCAGGGTTTGAACCGGGGTTGCCTGGACCGAAAGCCGGCGTGTGCACCTCTACACCGCCAGTGACTGTGACTTGATCTGCACTTTAGGCATATTTGACATGCACTCTGGAGGGTTTGCAGGAAAAAGTAACTTCAGGTTTGGTGTTGTATTTTCACATATCCCTGAGCGGGGTTTGAACCCGGGTCGCCTGGACCGAAAGCCAGTGCGTGTACCTCTACACTACGATGCATGGTCAATTTTTGGTGGGGCTCCAAACGCCTTACTATACATGGCCGTTATTTTTTCGGCTAAAAACGCCCGATTATACATGGCTGTTTTTTTCGGGCTAAAAACGCCTTACTATACATGGTTGTTTTTTTCAGGTAAAAACGCCTTCCTCTCCATGGTCGTTTTTTTCAGCTAAAAACGCCTTTCTATACATGGTCAGTTTTTTTCGGCTAAAACGGCTATACATGGTCGTTTTTTTCGGCTCAAAATGCCTTTCTATACATGGTCGTTTATTTCGGCTAAAAACGCCTTCCTATGTATGGTCGTTTTTTTCGGCTAAAAACGCCTTTCTATACATGGTCATTTTTTTCGGGTAAAAACACCTTCCTTCCTATACATGGTCGTTTTTTTCGGGTTAAAACGCCTGACAAAACATGGTCGTTTTTTTTCGCCTAAAAACGCCTGACTATACATGGTTGGTTTTTGGGGCTAAAAACGCCTTACTATATATGGTCGTTTTTTTCGGCTAAAAACGCCTTACTATACATGGTCGTTTTTTTCGGCGAAAAACGCCTCAGTATACATGGTCGTTTTTTTGGCTAAAAACGCCTTACTATACATGGTCGGTTTTTTTCGGCTCAAAACGCCTTACTATACACGGTCGTTTTTTTTTCGGTTAAAAACGCCTTACTAGACATGGTCGGTTTTTTTCGGCTAAAAACGCCTTACTATATATGGTCGTTTTTTTCGGCTAAGAACGCCTTACGATACATGGTCGTTTTTTTCCGGTTAAAACGCCTCACTATACATGGTCATTTTTTTTCGCCTAAAAATGCGTTACTATTCATGGTCATTATTTTCTGCTAAGAAACGCCTTACCATACAGGGTCGTTTTTTTCGGCTAAAAACGCCTTACTATACATGGTCATTATTTTCGTCTAAAAACGCCTGACTATACAAGGTCGTTTTTTGGGGCTAAAAACGCCTTCCTATACATGGTCGTTTTTTGGGGCAAAGAAAAATATACATGGTCGTTTTTTGGGCTAAAATCAACAACTAATAATGCATTCAAACTAATCACCAACATTATCTCAGGAGCACAATATTAAAACAACTTTAACCAGCAAAACAAAAATAATTAAAATAATTTGTGCCTATTTTTTTAAATCAAAGATGATGTCTGGATTATGGCTACCAGTAGCAGTCACAAAGCGGGATGATTATTGGCAATATTCGGCATGTTTTCGCTGAAAAAAACTCAAGCGGCTTATCAGCGTGATTGGGGTGTAATGTCTTTAAGTGACGCCTTAATTTATTTGGCTTCATGCTGTCTGCTGCCAACATTTAAACATAATTAGACACGGGTCTTTCGTCTCCTACCGTAGTCACAGTGAAGCTCAGCGCTACATACGCTTCGTCTTAACTTTCGGGATACTTGGCGTTTGTCTCTGACCTCAGTCTCTCTCCGCCTGTCCACTTCCTGTCTACTCATCCTCTGTGCCGTGTGCAAAGCGCTCATGCTCAGTGCAAATAAAACACCGAGCGAATGCTCCCTGCCCACACTCTGCCAATGAGAGCGTCACTGTCCCCTAATGTAGTTGAAGTGCAATTGCACTTTATTCTTGGACAGTAAAAAAAATAAAAAGCTGAGGTCAAACGCGCACCCCTTGACAGAGCCTCGCGCCCCCCGCTATTTGAGAAACACTACTTTAAAGGAAAATCCACTGGTTGACAAACAAGTCTCTTAACCACGTCTCTGGACAACCATGAGATTTATTTCAGCTACAATTGATGGAGAAACACCATTTACAGATGTGATGGAGCGACTCCCCAAGCAGCAGGGTGTGCCTCCTCTTCTGACATTTTTTTTCCTCCTTTGGAGGGTTTAAAGTCTGACGCATGACCTTGCACAGTCACGAACTTGCATACTAACACTTGCAGACACCAGGATGTGCGACACAAGTAAACAGTTAATTATAAGATAACATTGTTCAATGTCACATTTCCACGACACAAGTCCGCTGTGTTCCCTCCCACAACGGCGCAAATGGCCCGTCTGCCTAAAATACCAAAAGAAAGAAAACACCACCCATATGCACACAGTTGCTCTGTGCTTTTGCGCTAGACTTGCACGAGTCCCAAAATTAGGGCCCTGAAATGTAAAAGTGGACGAGGAATATTGAAAAATAAAACTGGTCCGACAAGTTCGGTTTGATTCAAACACGCGGCCACGAAATTCATGCCGTGAAGCAGTCCAACAATCTGAAACTTCAATTACTCGAACTTGAGCCTCCTCTCGAGGCTTGCATCCCTCCCACAGCCGCTGTGACTCGTCTGGAACAAGCGCAGCAAAAGCAAAGAAACAGATTCCGCCGCCATGAGGGTGATGCTGATAAAAGCTTAAAACCAGCAACCAAACTTTCCACAAGCAGAAATGTTGCCGGCGTTGTTTGGAGGATTCCGGTAAGCAGCCCAAAGCATCCAGTCCCAGCAGGCCTATCGGCGTCTGGGATCTAAGTCTGAAATTATCACATGCGCTCATCACTGTTGTTTGTTGATATTGATCGTTTTTTGGTGTGCTCACGCCGCACGTCACACTGAGCACCGTTGCTCATATTTTGTCCCCCACAGGAGTCCGGTGACTCAATTAATGAAGGCAAATTACCCAATGAGATTTGAATCGGGGGGCGCGAAGGTCAAGCTGGTGTTTATCGTGATTATGTGACAGATGCCAGGCGGTGACGGGACGGGAGTCACTGACCTGACACCGTCGTCGTCGATAAGCCCCATCGGGGAGGCTGGCCGGGAATGATTCCTTCGCAACAACGTCTTGCATGTGCTTTGTGGGGAGTCGAGGGAACCTTGTGGTGTCAATGGCACGCAAAGGGTGAGTGTAGAAATGGGTGCCGTTTGTGTAATATTGGATTTGGGGGCAAATATTTGTTCTATAATGCAACAGGAACTTTTAGCTCCCTTTCATTATCGCATGAGTCATGCTGCCAGTCAAGAGGAAACAAACAGAGGGCAGTGTGATGTCAATCCGGAGGGGGGGCGAATGATTTGTCTCGATTTCCATGAAAACGATTATAAGTGTCAATCAAAAGCTAAGGCGCTGAAATTTGGGCTCATTGGATTTGAGGCTGGTTAATATCGCGGTTGATGATTGCATAGCGGGTTGTATTCCAACTCGGATCGTGCAACGGAAAGTGCGCAAAATGTGTTTCGGGGCTGCGAGTTGATGTGGAGGGCATCTTGATTTGTGGTGAAGGGAATTAATAAAAAAAAATCAACATTAACCCTTTTGGGGACAGTGGTTACTACAGTGGACATCTTATCATGTTACAGGTTATCATTATTTGTGTAGGAAGTGCGGGCGGGGGGGGCGCCCACTTTCATTTCAGGTGAAATGCAATCTTGCTCAAGCAGGAAAGAAGCAGGAAGCGCCATTAATGATTAAAAACAGTTTGGGACAGCAGGGAAAGGGTGACCAAGCGAGCGCTGCTTTCTTGTGAGTGTGTAACTGAAACGAGAAAATCCTGCCAAATGGTCAAGACGACTGAACACCCCCCCCCCCCCACAACCCCCACCCCTCTCATTCGTGGTGGAACGGACGCATTTGAAGAAGATCTCAAGTAAAAGTTGGACCGTAACCTTGTTTGGTGAAAAAAGAAGATTAACGTCTGTGCGTTTGCTTTGAATCGGATGATCCCGTTTAATCCCGTGTTGATGAAACATTTGCAATCTGCTTCGCCGCGTTGTGCTGTGTCCCCAAACCGCCCAATCACACGCCCCGCCCACTCAAGTCAGTCAGAAATACATTTCTGGATATTGTGAGGGGTCTGTTCCTATCTCAGCACTTTGCCCTGAATATTTTATAAGCGATCAGGTGCATAGCAGATGCTCCGCTTCGCCCTTGATTGGGATGCAAGAGGTGGGTCGAGTCGCTCGGATTTAAGGCCCCGGACGACTTGATGGGTCACAGTTCAGGGACGGAGCTTTAAATGAGGCGGAAGGGAGGCCTGGCGAGGCTGGGCTGCCTCTTCAGCCATATTACCTGCATGTTGCTCTCGAACGCGCCACTTTGCCTCTTTTAGCAGCCACTGGCACGACAAAGCCAAGAATTCAAACACAATAGGATCTAAATTACGGGTGTCAAACTCAAGGCCTGTGGGCCAAATCCGGCCCGCCGGGTCATTTTATGTGGCCTGCGAAAGCAAACCATGTGTGTCAACTTGCTAAAATTTGTACCGAAATGTACTGGAGCCTATCTCAGCTGTCTTTGGGCAGTAGGCGGGGGACACCCTGAACCGGTTGCCAGCCAATCGCAGGGCACACAGAGACGAACAACCATCCGCTAACCACTGGATCACCGGGCCACCCCCCGCCTCCCACTCCCGATTTAAATAATAATATATATATATTTTTTTAATGAGGTTTTCATTTCCCATCAGATTTTTTTTTTTTTTTTTTTAACGCTGAACCTTTCCGCTGAATAGCATTAGCATGCGTTTACGGACGCTTGTTACACTCAACCACACATATGGTAAAACTAAGATATGCAACGAAATCTGATGCGCAGTTTCTTCCTGCATGCATCGTGACTCGCAACCCATGTCCGACATAAAATTTTAGTGCGAAAGGAAGCCAGGAAAAACACTGAAAAATGGATCATAATGAATAACAAACACCTCCGACCTGTCGAGGAAAAAATGAAACCCGAGCGTTACAGCCCTCGCGGTTGATATTAACGTCGGTGCTGCTAAGCTATCTGGCGGATGCCCGCATAATTACAGGCTTCCCATCATAAATGTCTTCCAAATCCACACGAGGATCCTTCCTCGTGGTTCACCGGCCAGGCGTTAGCTCCATGACACCCCGACTTCCCGAGCCGCAGCACTTCCACCACTGAGGGCCAATGGAAAAAAAATAATAATCAAGTGAACACAGCAAGCGATTCCAGTCCCTCGTGGTCCCGGCAGGGGGAAAAGTGATCAGATAAACATGCAGCAAAGCCTCCAACCGGGTCTTACGTCGCCTTCTTGCAAGGCTGCCGGTGGGCCGGCAACGAGGTGGCGCTCGCGTCCCCCGTCCATCTCCCCCGTCTTGTTGATTCGAAACAGGCCTCGTTAGCCGTCCGTTCATTTCCGCGCGCGTGGAGCAGGTGACGCGCGTCATCTCCAAGCGGGCTGCACGCACGTCCATCATCGCGGCGCTATCCTGAGGCGGGCTCCAACTCGATTTCGTTTTGCAATCATTAGCGTGTCACTTCCCGTTTCCATCACCGGCGGCGCGTGGGCGCCTGCGTATGTCATCAAGCTAGAGGTCTCGACAATCGCGGCAGGCACGATGTGGATTATGTCTAAAAAATAAAAAAAATAAATCATATTTTTTTTATACATTAATAAAAACAGATTACTCTATTCATATGATGCCATTTGGATTTTTCCAGTTGTATCATACTTGATACACAACAACGATAGCCTCTTATGCAAGAGTATGATTGACAGGTCATTAATCAAAATACTTTTACGATGAATAACGTAACATGAACCTCAAAGCAAGTGAAACTCACCGTAGGTGGAAGAAGTCTCCACACCCCTGTTTAATCTTTCACGAGGGGAAGTACAAGATGATCGACAAAGATTATGGACCACAGTCAAACTCATCTTGACCTGGCGAGAGAGAGAGAGAGAGAGAGAGAGAGAGAGAGAGAGAGAGAGACAACACCAGACAACGGCTTATAAGAAAATGAATATTAAAATATGGTTTACTTTTAAGCACATACAGTGTTACTCTGTACATCAACCCTGGCAGACTACAAAAATTGTAGAAGCGTGCTTATCACTGTCCAAATTTTAACCCCCACAAAAATAAATAAATGACGTCAATTGGGCAGCGTGTGCGTGCGATGGAATAATCAAACCCCAAAAAGATTTGCTGGCGACAGCCCAACATCATATTTGTCGAGTATTAATATCAAACACGATTGAAAATTCAGTCATGAGGGAGGGCGGCCATTTTTATGAACAGCACTTGTCATCCACATTTGTTGAAAATCGTCGAGGAATCCCAAGGAAACTATTTTAATGAAATTCATATATTCATTCGTTTACTTGGGAAGTCTTCCCCAGTCGCTCCATCTGTTTCACCAAAATAATTACGAGCAGAGAGAAAACACACACACACACACACACACACATGCACGCACATTCAATATCTTCCTCTAGTGAGCTCATTTGCATGTTATAATCCTGCCATCTGTGAAACCAAAAACCGAATTATTCGCACCGTGACCAGCAAAATGAACGGCGAATCGTAACAAAAATAGAGTCCGTGTTCGGCCAGGAGAAGGAGGGACGTGAATGGGAATGAAATTACAGTACTGTTTCCTCTCAGAGGAAAAATTTGAGTCGTTAGCAAGTCTGGGAGCCTGAGATGAAGGTGGCCCTCTAGATTAGCGTGAAAATGAAGTGCAGGCACCAACGCACAAACACGCTTCCTCAAACTACCGAGCAGAAGTCAATAAAAGTATTTGTCATACGCATTTTGAGAACTGAATAAAACAGCAGGAGGGTTAATTATAATTATGAAATACTTCCTCATTGTTACTCTGCGGTGTACCGTAGCTAAAAGATGCTAACTTTTATTCGACTCCCCAAGAGTGAGACACACAAACACTTGAGAATGGCTGCCATTACAACCACAGATATGATTCATTTATTCTCCGGACAGATGTGGGATTTCTTTCAACAATCCGAAATAATGACAACAACATACCGAATGACATTTGTCTTGAAATTAGCAAGCTAGCATGTTTAACGTAGCTTTGAGTCCACAAAAATGTGTTCTCTTTGCCCTGAAGATAGGATGGCATTTTTAATCACGACAGATGTCGACCGAGACGTACGTTTGCCGGTGTTTGGACAGGCCTCGGGTCAGCTTTTGCTTTTTCAGGTGGAGCTACAGCTAGTCACACGGAGACGCTCGGTCTCCTGGACTCGCCGCTTCCTGTCCTGCATGGTCCTCCAAATCCCGCCGGAGTTTTTAATCACTAGTAAGATCCAATCGTGTGTCGATTGACTTCACACTTCTCGCTAAATGACTTTGTTGTTCTCCTTTTGGAGAACTCTAACTTCCGTTAGCCAAGATGGTTCCTTTCCCCTCGATGGCCTCACGTGTTCACGGTTTTACTGCTCCAAAGAGATGAAAGTGGACGAGCACGAGAATGTCATTGGAACATACGAGCAGTTTCCTGAGAACTACATCAACTTTTTCCACTGGAAAAAAAAAAAACATTGAGAGCACAGACTGAATTCCCGCCCTCCCACAAAAAAATGAAACGGACTGACAATATTCCCAAAGTCATCACAAGAATCACCACCGGGCCATACTCAATTTTAATAACTATTATTTGCCAATATTAACCCTTCGATGCACCCTGTGACCTCATAACATGATAATCCGTCCACTGTCGTAACCGCTGTCCCTGAAAGGGTTGAAAGTCGGAAATGTATGCCAACAAGCTGGATAAGCGTTAACCAATGACTACATTGAAACGGAAACTCGCCGCTACAAAAAATCGCCGTCTGCATAGTTATTTGTCTTTCTTCAGCGGGTGCGTGCGTGCGCGAGCGTGTGTGTGTGTGCGAGCTGGGATGATCCTCCCCCGGCCTGGTGATGACACAACCCCCGTGGGTGGTCTTAACGGTCAACAACTGCTCTGTCAACTCCGCTGCACCCAAGCACCGAAGAGGTGATGAGACTCAACAGGCAGCGTTAGTTCACGCCGGGTGAAGATAAAGATGAGCTTCATCTTTTGCTCTGTGCTCCGACCGGGAATATTTTCTCTTTCTCTCCATGACACCCTCTTGTTGTTTACCCTCAGCCTGCTTCCAAGCACATCCTGCTCCGTGCCGACCCCCTTTCCCCGTGACGAGCAAACGGAGCTAGACACATTAAATCATCTGTGAAATTCTGGCCGGTATTTGTCATGTGATTAACTGCACACGTGTCACGTCTACGGCAGAAAAGTGGCAGTCACACAGGCCGAGGTTGCAAGATGGAGGTGACTGCTCTCTCTCTCTCGTTCTCTCTCTCTCACACAAAATACCGGCGAATCGTGTTGGGGATTTATATCTCCACCATGGAACAAAAACTGAGCAGAGTTTCAAAACTTGTGTGGACAATTAAGTAGCCGGGGGGGGGGGGACATGCTTGGCAGCCATCTCATCATCAACACCATGTTGTCGGGCGGAAGGATGGAATCAAAAGCGTTCCTCAGTCCATCGCAGAGCAATTCGGCACAAAAGTGAACCGCTACAAATGCGATTGATGAGAAACGCATGGAGCCGTGTTGCTCGCAGTCTTCCCCATCCGCTAATTAACTAGTCATGTTGTCTAGATGTCACGTCACTTATTGTATCCCAACACCAGTCCCTGAGGACTTTTTTTTTTTTTTTTAAACAGGGAGCGGAGGAATACCTGATATCTGTTGTGCTTTAAGTGGAAGCCTCTCGGATTCCATTCAACCGTGGGTGAGGTTCAGCATTTTGTTCCCCTGCTTTCCCACAGAGGCTCAATACATTGGAGTATATTCTGTCAGGCATGAAACACTGTACGGGAATCGGACACCCCGGTCTCCTCAATCCAACCCCAAAGAGTTGAGAACGTGGAAGAAGCTCGTCTTTCAAATCCCACGTCTCACGCAGGGGGGCTTTGTATCATGTCAAGTAGTCCATATCTTGTAAGGCATAATTCTATTCGAAGAGATCCGAAATATGTTGTCAATAGTCGATCTGTATTGGTGATTTTACGATTGTTCAAAGCCAAAACCACTTTTTTTTCTTGGTGGGTAGAATAAAGAATTTTAGATGGTAGACCGCAGGATTTAGCGCGTTTAACGGGAGTTGAAAGTGGCCTAAGATTTGAATTTCTAGGAAGTCACAGCATACTAAAGTGTGTGGATTGGAATACCTAATGACAACTTTCAACAACTTGTTCCTTTAGTAAATAAAATATAGAAGTTTGATTAAATACGATAAAAACAAAGAGCGAAAAATTCGACCGTAATCGAATCACAACATTAAGGAGTAGTCTCCATAAATCACATGAAGTATAGCACAGCCAGTCCTTGGCTGACAATCGTCTTGTTCCTTTTACAAATTTTACAAATGCACCTCGTCAACCTACCCAGAACATTTGCTGGCTCTGAAAAAGCACAAAATGCATCATTTCGGCATACCTGAAATACCAAGTCACATTTGTTTATAGAGCGCTTCGTCTCAAACAGGGCTTCACATGTCCACGGTTGACAAGTGTTCACGACACGCTCTGACCTTAACCCCCAGGAGGGCAAGGCAAAACAAAAAAAACAAGAAAAAACATCAGGGCAAAAATGAGAAACCTTGAGAAGGGGCAGCAGATGGGACAATCCCCCTTCCAGGGTGACCAGGCTGCAATGGATGCCGAGTGGGCAACAATGTTGGTTACAATGATCCATTGAACAAGATGACAATGCTGTAGGGGACAGGTGTTAAACTCAAGGCCCGGGGGCCAGATCTGACCCGTCACATGATTTTACGTGGCCCGCGAAAGCCAATCAAAGATGTCCACATTCATGATGCTTGCTAAAATCTCAAACAAAATTTCAAACTCTCATTTGGAATAAATAAGAGTGATACTCGAAGCATTTTCTTGTTACCAATCCCCCCTCATTACCGTAACTTAAACAATAAGTGAATAAACTGTTATTCTTGACTTCTTTACATGGTTTCGGTCATAACGGCCCTCCAAGGGAAACTGTAACTAAAATCCCCGCCTCCTATCACTTCAGTGAACTCTAGTAGGATTGTTGTATGAGACCGTCTCATTAGCTTTCACTCAGGTTACTGTCAATCAGTTACAGCGTGCACACAAGGAAGCAGGAAGTGCCTTTGTGCGCTTGAAAAGACATTAATTTCAAACCCGGTTCGAAAATGAAATATCCTTTTTTGGAATGAGGGTCCAAAAGTGTCATTGGAAAGCAATGAGATCTCTGTAGAAGGAATACAAGTATCACTAAGTGGAAAGCCAGTCCAGACAAGTCAGAAAAACAAAGCATCATCTGTTTGGGTGTTTTGAAGAAATGAGACATAACTGCAAGGGGGGGAGGTATGAATCCCTGTGGGGCTCCAAATGCTCAACCAGCTCTCCTCTGCTGAGGCTCAAACTAATATTTCATTGATTTATTTATTTTTTTGTCCTCGGCGCCGTGACAAGGTAGAGAACAGGTTTAGAAGAGATTGGAGCTCAGACATCAGAGGTCCGACTCAATTGTGGCAGGGGTGGAAAAGGTTTGAGGTTTTCATGCTGGTGGGGGGGCGGAGGCGGGATGCAATCTGGCAGCGTTTTGCTAACGGGGATCGTCTGGTTCGGAAGCAGCTGCCTTGACCCACTTCTCCTTTGCTTGCGACTCGGGATATTGATGCGCCGAGATGTGCCAAGCAGACGGGAAACAGCTCTTTTTTTTTTCTTTTGCGGAGGACGTCTTACATTTTTGGCTTCAACTCGCAGACAGGCGGTCGAATCAAATGACATCCGCCACTTCACATTTGGAATTTTGTAATTTGCCTTTCAAATGTCATTTAACAGTGCGCCTGCTGTATGTATGTACGTATTGTATCGCGCTGGT